GCTTTGGGCTGATCCTGGGCTGAACAGAATTAGCCCCAATGAGCCGCAAACCGAAGGGGCGTGGCAAGACACCTGTCAATCATTCTGAACCATTACATGAAAATGTGCTGTGAAAAGTTAGCCCTGCAGAACGACCCTGAGATCTTCCCATGTGGTTTGGCACCAGTTTTCCTTGTAAATTTCACAAAATAAGATATTATTTTTCAATTTTGTTTATTTTTAAGTTGTTATTTATAAATTGTATATAATTATAATTTTATAATATTCCTTTATTTTAACATTTTTACTGTGAACACCAGGGAGGGCTTAGCCCTACTAGCCCACTCATACCAGCCGTCACTGCTAATAATGGATATCACTGGCTGACTAGTTTCAAACAAACTGGCTTTGGTGAACTATTTTTCTTCATTAGTTTTCTCTCAAACACTGACGTCATGGCTGATAAGCTAACTATTGATAATGGTATGACTGAACTTTAGAGATAAACTGGTTATTTGGCAGGCTGCTTTTAATCATCCAACAACACAGACATAAGCTGTTTTTTTGTTTGTTTTTGTAAATGTGTAGAAAACGTCTTACTTTCTATCAACGTCACCTAAAACAACAGAAATAATGKTTTGTCAGTATCTCATATCTAATCCTGGAAAGGATAAGGAAATCATTCCCACAAAGCAACAATAGGTTTGTTTGGTTTGCAGAACATTTGCTTGGCTGCCTGTGTGTTTTGTTTCAGCCTTACAAAGAGAGCTCAGCCTCCCTGCCTCTGATGGARCCCTGTAGTTTTCTCCTTTAAAACAGAAATGACCAGGAGCTGATACCAAAACTAAAAATAATGTGCAAAACTAAATAAATTCAGTGAATGTTTATAAAATATCCTTTTCTAATTGAAATATATATGTTTTGATTGAAATTGATGTGGTTTTTATGGCTATCAGCTGGTGTTTAAGTTGCTGCAGGTGTCTTTGTGATCACAGGCTCAGGTAATCTGTGTGCACAGCTGTCTGATCATTACAACCAGCAGCACCATGCTGACAGAACTGAGTCCACAATATTTCTGYTGTGCCTCATTTTGAACCACAGATATTGTCTGTTTCAGCTTCATATAAGTYGTTTATTCCTAGTATGCAAGGGGAAGTGAAATGAGCAGCCAGGGTTTCATGTGTTTATGTGAACCTGTCAGTCAGCTTATCACTTGACTTACGTAATGACTTCAGAGAACACAACTCATGCTCCTTTGGCCTTGGTACACATTAACCAGGGGGTTTAAAGAATGAAGAACAATATGAGACAGTCAAGTCCTGATAGTCCTGATAGGGACACCAATGGTCCACAGTCCTCTGTTTGGTTTCTACAGTGCACTGAAAAGTCTGGAATGCTGCCCCACTACATCTTTCTGTCATTTTACAGAACACACAGTCATGAGGGTGTGAGAAAATATAGAAAAACTAAAACATTGTGATGTTTCGTTTCCTAATACTGCACTGATTCCGAAAAGCACTTKAGTTTTAATGAAGGCTTATTRGATRTATGTTGCAAGAAGAAATGTGAAATAAGTGCAGTTGTCACTGTTGTTCAGTGTTCTTCTGATTGCATAAAAATAATCTGAATTCAATCTGATTTATTTTTTGCATGTATTGCATGTTCTCTTTATACTGAGTTTTTAAAAGTAAAAAAAAGGCAATATATTGCCTTGCTTACAGTATCACAGTATGTCATACGATCCATGTGTCATATGTATCGTCTCACCAGTTTCTTGTAATACACAGCCCTAATAAGTTTGGTAATTTGATTTTATTCTTGTTGGTCCGTAGCTGGTTGATGTGGATTTGTACGTTTACAGTATATTTAAGTCATATTAAAAATGTTTTGGACACATCAGTGTTCTAGTACTTGAGACTGGTCTTAAGACCACTTTTTCATGGTCTCAGTCTCGTCTAGAACTTGACTTCATTTGTCTTGTCTCAGTCATTGAGGATTCTGGATTTTATTCCAAGACCACAACTTCGGAAATATCACTAAATGACAGAATATTGTCAACTTTGTTAACATCCTTGCTTTCATAGGATGTAAAACGAACTGACTCAAATCCAAGCGTGACTCATTGCTAATTGTATTTTTTATTACTGCTGTTGCCCATCCTCACCCCACTTTCACTCACCTGTGGCACTCCAAGACAATGAGCAG